AAGGGCGGAAAGCCTCCCCTTTTTCGAAAGCCAGTTTCTTTGGTCGCCAAGGAAAATGGCGCCAGAGTGTGGACCTCTGGCTGGTGTAGTTCACGCTGGTCAGTCTGGCCCTACACTCACGCTCGAGCGAGCGGCTTCGCGACTTGCCAGGCCCTTCTGGCCCCTCTCTATCTCTTCCTCCCTGGCCCTTCCTTCCTCCCTCGCCTCTCTGTCGAGGACCTAACAGAGGGTCCCTCTGCCCCGTCACCGTCCTTCTTTCGCCGGTGGCATCGTCCTCCCGTCTACAGGATGAAGCTCCACTCTCTGATGCGGAGCACTGACCCGCAAACTGGTTCCTCCATTACACCAGGCTTTCTCCCCCTTTTCTCTCCCTTCCCAGCTTCCCCTCGCGGCTTCTTTCTCCCTCTTTTCGTCCCTCTCGTGTCACGGATCACTTCGATTTCCCTCTCCTTCTTCCACTTACACCCCATCCGCCGGGTCCACCAGTCTCTTTTACTTACAATTAGCCTTCCTACGTCCGTGTCAGCTTCTGCAACCCCCTGCGGAACGATCGGTCTCGTCAAGACGCCGAAGAGATTCGGCAAGACTGCTCGAGCAGACCTGCTCACGACAACGATACCCTACAACCTTTTTGTCTCTTTCTTTCCTCGCCTTTTTTTTCTCTGTCTGGCAAGGTTGCTCCTTTACGGCCAAGACCGTCTGTTCTTTTTCTTTACCTCTTTTTTTTTTACCTCTCTTTCCTTTTCGACGGTTCCTTCTTTTCGGACGCTTTTCTTCTGCTTCCTCTAAATGCTCTGCCCCCCCCCCCCCCCCCCCCCCCCCCGCTATAAACGCCACTGCGACACGCTGTTTATGGTTTAAGTTTCATTGATTTCCGTACGTTTACTGGCGGGTGAAAGCAGCAACTCGAGGGATTCAAAGATGTAACTATTTCGTGTTTTTGTTTTTTGGCTCAAGCGGAATGTTTTTCTTATTGCACGAATAAATACGCAACGATAATTAAACGATCGGTTAATAACCGTAATGAGATTGCGAATAGAAGGGTTAACACATCAATTGCCGCAGTAGAAATAAGCATATATGGGACGACATGCGATAACGTACGTTGATCATTAACTAGACTACTGCAGTGAAAATTGGCATATATGGTCAGACAAATTATGGTACACGTTATTAAAGATAACCCTTGGTATTAACTCTTATTCGGACGCAATATATGGGTATTAATATCCCAGTATGGTAAGGGGTGAGTGTACTCGGATAAGGCTTAACCCGGTTCGTTTAAATTTTCAATTTCCTATAATAAATTATATTAGCATAATAGCGTTTCTTTCTCCTTTCTCTTTTTAATTACTCGATTACATTAAATTTATGATGCTGGTCACCGGCGACTCTCACAAGTTGTCAACGCGTTAACGGTTCGAAGAAGAATGACGAGCGGACGAAAAGCGCACTCGAATATCTCTCGAACACGCTAATGAAGTTTTAGAGTGCTGCCTCGCATGTTTCTCGCGTTTTCCCCGCGGCACTCGTCACTCGGCAGACGTGGAATTAACGCTGAATTAATTCGCACTTTATCGCCTGTCCGAAGGCGAGCGACGATCGCTCGATGCATTTCCACGCCTGCTCCACCGTGTCAACGAGTATTATGGGATAGTAAAGGCTTGACACACTCTTCGGGCATGTCTCTATGTCGTTTTTTCGACGGGATAACTTGGTGGACAATTACTAGCAGGCAATTTATTCGCGAAACCTTCAACCATTTAGTAGGAAGTACTTTCCTGATGAACATGGCCCACAATCAAAAGCATAAACCCTTTCGTTATAATTATTTCTGCTGAAGAACGCATATTTCATGGGATCAATTGTTTATATAATTTTATATTTCTTGTTATGTAAAATGAAAAATTACTGATTTCACAATTGATGCCAAAAAATTACTAATTTTCAATTTTGAATTAGCACTAATTTAATATTTAAATTAAGGCCTCTTTCATTGTAAATATTTTTGTTTCATTTTTAATCTGGTATATCCGTCAGAGTTTCTTAAAGATGAACTTTAGAAATTGAGTTCACTCGAACATGATTGTTTGCAGACTTTCTCGACAGTGTCACAATTTTTATGCCTCGATGATAAAAATCGTGCTAGAAGATGTCTCTTTCAATTATGACAATTCATAGACCGTTTATCTGCTTGGTTACAAGGTATTGACAATTTCTGTATCTTCATTGAAGTATTACATTTCTATTCCATCTTACGTATTACGAAAAATCAATATGTATTTTGAGAGATATTTTAAATTTAAATTCAAAAGTGACACGTTTTATGCAAAAAATTGAAAAATCTCTAATTGTACTCATTGTATTCTGAGTCTTTAAATAGAAATATATAGAATTAGAGAATGATAGTCTTTGAAGAAAATAATAATTCTATTTACTTGAATAATTTTTTGTATTTATATTTATTTCTAGCAAAAGAAAAACCTAATCAGAGGAAGATAAAAGTTTATCGAATGAACCCTACTTTACATCCTCTTGCATTTATATTTATTTCTAGTAAGGAATTACGTATAGGAAGAGAAAAATTGATTAAACGATATTTACAATGAGTTCACGATTTCTTTGGTACCTTAAGCTGAGATCTCAAAATGTACGACAGTTGGACGATTAGCAGCCGCTTTAAATTACGTGCAAAGTAGACAATAATAGAACGAGAACACTAGCTACGTGGCTTGCTGCGAGGTAAAAACATTTAACGCTTTTGCAATCGTAACTTCGTCTAGGCTCGACAGCAATGTAGTTTTGTCTCGTTTCAGCAAGAACCACATTGTTAACCTTTTGCGGTTCATTTATCCTACACTTTATAATTCAATTTGTCAATCGATGCAATTTATTTCGAACTGGTTTAATGGCAAAAGTAATGTCAATTTGGAGACGAAAAATTTATCTATATTTCAAAATAAATCGCGTTCAACTGGCGCCGCGACGGTGATTTACTGGGCAATTTCGTAATATGAAATTCAAGTTTTATTTGATATCACAATCAAACTAATTAATGGAGGAAATAAATATAACTATTTATAACATTGTTCTAAATAATCATAGATATTTTAACCCTTCCCATTCAAATGGCGCCACTACGAAATCGGTGTCAAAAAACGAAACTATTCAGAGAATCAATATTTCGTAACGAAATTATGGAACTTCGAAGAACCGATAACTATATTTATTGAAATTATTAAATAACAGATATCCCCGCTTCTTTTCATTTTATAACGCTTCACGTTCGCGTAAATATTCAACGGAGCTCCTCCACGAACTTCTTTGTAACTGGACAGCTTGCAGTTGCTAAAATAAACGATGCGAACAAAAATAAGTATTCCGTTCTATCCGTTACGGTTTCAAACGGAAACTCGTAAACGAGAGGAGCGAAAGATCGAATCGAATTGCTCGATTCGATTAACGAGTTTCAATGCTTGCAATCGCAATCGTTACGCATTTGCGATACATTGAAAAGGTGACACACTTTACGCTAAACGCGATAAGTAAACAATTCAATTGATCGATTGTTCTCGTTGTTTACGTAACGAGAATCGCAGCACCGTAACAATCGAACACACACCTTGCCTCCGATTACGTCAACGTTTATTGTCATTTAAACTTCAATTATAGTATATTGTTGTTTTTGCATTGCTTTTGATTATCCATTGATTTGAATCCTTCATTTTTATAGCGCACAATTTCTTTCAGTTATGTAAGATTTATTATTTCTAATCTTGTTCTAATGAATCGTTATACAGTTTTGAAATCATTTGTTACTCTAATAAATACTAATAATGGTAAGCTATTTTGTATCTTGTCTAAAGTTACACGGAAATTAATTTTACGAATATAATTAAGTATTTCATAGATATGCAGATTAGTTTCATGAATCAATGAATAGATAGATAGAAATATTATACGAAATTAGTTCAACATTTGCGATCATTTGTTACTAACGAAATACTAATGATGGGAAGTTGTTACGTATCTCGTCTAAAATTACTTGTTAGAAATTATTTCTACGGTAGGTGGAAAGTAATTAAGTGTCTCGTAAGTAAATAACGTACGTGAATTAATTTCACGATCGAGTGAACATAAGAACAAGATTATGAAATTATTCTACATAAAGAAGAAATTACTTGTTGCTATGATACGTATTCAAGATAGAAGGTAATTTTGTATCTTGTCTAAAATTACTCCCGTAACATGTATCATGATAGCAAACGGTGTAAAATAGCAAAATATCCGCTTTCCAGCAATTATAAAAGCGTTGATTAATATTTCTGATATATATTCTTGTACATACGTACAATATAAATTTGTAGAAGATAACAGCCAGTAGAGTTATGTGGCGCAAAGTGCTCCAAAGCGCATCAGTAAATGTACTGGACTGTTACAAGACATTTATTAAAGATATCGATATTCCTGTGTGATTAATCGCAACATTAAGGAACGTCGGATCGAGCACAGGTTCTCAATTAAAACGATAACAAATGGCCTTTGTGCAAACCGACGCGACGACTACTATTAACCCTTTCACGACGAATATTTGATTGCCTTCTGACAATTATACTTAAAAATTGAAATATTACTACAATGAAATTTTATTAAAATGTATGAAAAATTTAATAAACCGATTTATTTGAAAATTGATATGATATATTTTAATAAAATTAATTATGAAAATAAAATTAAAAGCTTCAATTTTCATTTATACCGTTGCAGAAAGTAGTGATAGTCAATGAAGGGGACATCAGACCGAATACAATTTTCATTAATAACATTCTCGTAAACATTCGTTCAGTTGAAAATTGATCCACTTAGAATGACTATTATGTTATCTGTCCGATAATGGAATTATTTATCTATCATATTTGACATATTCTGTTTGCCTACTTTGACGGAAATCATTTACAGTGTAACGGTAATAAAAAGGAGAAAAAGAACAGCAAACTCACCAGTGGCTGACTGTGTTTGTAACAATAGTCCGATGAGGGAAACGAGGACGTAGGTGTTGTACCGGGGTGCCACGATACCCCGTCGAAGGGTCGTCATCTCAGGCGGCCCCCGCCAGGTGCCCCCTCGACCTGCCGCCGTCCCTGCGACCGCCTTCGGCACCTTTGGCTTCTCAACTTCCGCCTTCGCTCCAGCTAGCTCCACGCCGCTTAGTCCTCGTGCTTCACATCTCATCTGCCACGCTGCTGTCTACTCTGGCTCGAAAACTGACCGTTCTCTGTTTCTCTGAATGTTTCTGTCCAAAAAATCACCACTTCCTCTCAACGCTTTTTCCTCGTCGTCGTCGTCGTCGTGGTCGTGGTCGTGGTCGTGATCGTGATCGTCGCGGTCCTCGTCATTTAACGCACCGTTCGCTGAAAACGTCCGTTTCGATCGTTTACGCGCGCGATCCAGCTGCTGGTGGCGGTTCCGTTCGAGTCGACCTGATTCGTAACAATGACACGCGATCGAGCGACGACCGAGCGGATCCGTTTCTCCGTTTGTTTTTACCCTCCCTCCCGTCCCATCTGCCTATGCGTGCCACGCGAACCTTCTACGACCCACCTTCCGAATATAAACAACCGTGTCGGTGTCAACTTTGTACGAGACACAAGGAAAATCGACTTATCTTCCTCCGTTGCTTCCGGCTATTCGAATCTAATAAGAATGTCACCATGGAAATCGCGCGCGAAATTGGTAGGTAATCTTAGCTCACCAAATTTCTGTCACAATTTCTAAGAATAAAAGATCGATCGATCGAGCACGATACGTGAAACGTTTGTTGTTCGCGAAGGATACACCAGAAGAGGAGGCGATGGAAATTTTATCCGTCCGGTGCACGCGGCTCTCCGGAGAGAAACTGCGACGCCGAAGGAAGCACGCGACGAGAGACAGGGCCCGTGCAGAGCAGCGAGCGGCTCACGTGTTCGGCGAAGGAAACTCACTGAACATCTCACACCATCCACGAGAGGAGCACCGGGCACGGTAGAATGGAAGGGAACTGGCGTGGAAGCGGAACGATCGATTCGAAACACCTGTAGAAGAGCGACGTGTCCTGGTCACGGTTGCACCACGAGAGATCAACGTAAGTTTCCTGTGAGGACTCTGTCCAGTCACGCGTGTCCCGAGCTGTACGATCGACTCACGATCGAACAGCAGCACAAGGCACATAGGCGCACCACCCGCGTACCATCATCGTCTGCGGCCTGATCGGTAGCCGACACGTGGAAACGCGTATCGTAGTAAGGAAGTGGCGGTCGTCGGCTGATGTGTCTGATCGCGTCGGCGAACGAGCCGGCTTCCTCGACCTGCCTCACTCACGGATCCTCGTCGATCGTCCGACGAGGAGTGACGAGCGCCGCTCGATTTCCGAGCCGATGCAACCACGGCTAGGCTCGTTCGCCTCGGCTAACCTCTTGGTTAGTAGTTTGCAATCGTTTCCTAAGCTCGTTCGAATTGTTCCGCCTCGGGAACGAGCGCGCGGATTCGTTGGATGGAAACCAAGCGCGCACGAGGCCGCCCGGCAGACTGAGAGTAGCAGTCGACAGTCGGCAGGCAGCAGCGGCAGCAGCAGCAGCAGCCAGCTAGCAGCAGCAGCAGCAGCAGCAGCAGCAGCTAGCAGCAGCGGTACAAGGCGGAACGTTTGCCCGTGTGCCGAGCGAAGCTCTGCAAAAGCGGTCTGCACACGCGGCCGCGCTGCGTTATGCTGTCCCCACTTCCCTTGTTGAAGCGCGCGATCGCGGCTGCGGCTGCGGCAGCGGCTCGCTCGCCTATCTGCCCGTATGCCTCTATGCCTTCTGCCTGCCTCTATGTCTGCCTGTTTGTCCGCCTGCCTGTCTCATGCATGCATGCATGCATGCATGTTTCGTATCCTCCTTCTACAGCTTCTCCTACTCCTTCTACTCTCTACTTCTTGGGTTCTTCTGCCCTTCACCAGCCCTCAAGCCACCTTCCTTCCTTCCTTCTCGTGCTTCGCGCTTTCTTTTGACTCTCTGCGACCTCCTCCTACGCCTCTTCTCTTTTCTTCTTCTTCTTCTTAGCTACCTTGATATCCTCTGTCCCTATCTTCCTTACGGTACTTTATTGCTTTCGTCCTTCTGTTTTTTTTTTGCCAACCCCCTTTGTCGGGCCACAGGCTATCAGGCATCGTCGGGCTGCGATACCCTTTCGTTTACTTCCGGTATTTCGTTCCTCGAAGAAAGCGTGCAGGACGCGCGAGATTCGATTCTCTGCGCCCATGGTCCTGCTGAAACGGAGCTACGGTCCAGATATTTTTTGCCTCTTCCACGATATTTATAGCGTAGCCACGTTACTGTTTGTTTCGGATGCATAAATTGTGTAAGGTTTCGGCTGGAGTAGGAAAAAAGGAAGACGAGGAAAGAGGCAAACCGTTTCTTTGTTCACCCACTCGATGGTCGTTCACTCTCGATTGACGGATTTTAGGAATTCCTTAGCACGCTGCATCGGCCGATCATCGAAATCTTTTTGATTTTTTTGGATTTATCGAATGGGACGATTCTTGCTTCCTCGTGTAACGGTGTGACGACGACTTAGATTTAAATTCAGCGTATCTTTTATGAAATATTTAAAGCATTGATTGAACTTTTGTGGTCAACAAATAAGTGGTGAAAAGAAGAATTTTACGATAAGATTTATCACCTTCGTATTATTTACCGTTTTACTGTATCTATTGTATTATACTAAATGTAAATGTTAAATGTACACAACTTACGAAATACAGTTGATAATTATTCACAGATATTCAATGGTATTAGATTTTTAAAAAATCATAGATACCTTAAATGAAAAAATTCAATAATTATATCTTTAATAAACGATAGAATAACGTGCCGTACTAGGTACGTCCATTTTCACTGCGGCAGTTAGTACGTTACCCCTCAGAAGGCGAATGCATTAAGTATACTTTCACGAGAAAATACAGCACAGTTATAGTATGATTGTTATGGGTTAAATTGACATCGTACCATGTCAGCCACAGAGCATTCGTCTTCGAGGGTTAATCAACAGCAAAAAAAAAAAAGAACAAAATATCCTAAAATGAAACGGACAAGAACGCAAGGTATAGCAAAAGCAAGGTACAAAAAAAGGAAATCAAGTTACAATAGAGGGACCATACCCCTCGGTGTCTCGCCCTTTCAGAAGGGTTAACGCTTACCGAGCACCCTTAAACAGCAAGCAGACTACGCGAGCTTTACGAGGCAGACAGGACGCGAATTTCCTTTACGGGATCGGGTTCTTTCTTTCGCTCGATCGCGAATATGTACATACATCACGTGATCCTTTAACAGTTGATTTGTTTTTTTATTCTTTTTTTTTTTCTTTTTAAGAAAAGCAATCGTCACACGCGCGTCAAAATATGGTTGCCCCTTCGACGAAGGGGGTAAGATCACGCCGTTTTATGGACCGATCAAACAGCGAACACAACGAGAAGGACGTTTTGCGTGTAAACGGACAACGTGACACGCACCACGCCTGAAGAGGGTGCAACACCGTTTCTCGCCTCCGTCCCGGTGGCAAAGTGTAATAGTAATTGGTGGATGCACCGGTGCTACGTCTCTCTTTTATACCCACGAGAAAACGGTACCGCCCCCTTGGCCACGTGACGATACCTTTGCAGCTGGACCTACCACGCGCTTCTTGCAGCGCATCCCCTTCAAACCGGTGCAACCACACCACCCCCACTACGATTTCTACACCCTTCCTTCCTTCCTTCCTTCCTTCCTTCCTTCCTTCCTTTCTCCGTTTCCTACTTCCGTTTCTGCTTGCAACCCCGCGATGCACTTCGTTGACAACGTTTAGTAAATGAGAACTGGAAGAGGGGGTGAGAGAGGGTGAGATAGAGGTAAGGTATGTTTGATGAGGAGGTCTTTCCTTTTTTCGAGGGAGAGATAACATTTTGATAGGGTTGAGAAGTTTAAGTGAGAAATTGAGGGTTGAATGTTGTAGGATTTGTTGGTACAAGAAGGGGTGTTCTTTTTTCACTGATGATGTTAATTAGAAATTAATAAGTGAAAAGTGGTAGATTTTACGGACATGAGAAGTAACTGTAAAATTTTCAGCTTCGTCTTTTGGTTTCTTTGTAAAGTTTCCTGCGATAATAGATAGGATGACAAGTTAATTAAGTTTGAAGAAAAACAAAAAAAAGGAACACATTTTAACACTTAGGCGGCTGTACAATTTTATAACATTAACGATTCTCACAATTTTACGCTTCTTTTTGGATCAAATTATGTATAAAAGTTTCATTTAATTTATCCTACAAATTTATCAATGTTTAAATTTTAATTAAATTTAATAAGCGGAAACTAATTATTTTATAATCACATTCTTGCATGAAGATGAAGATAAATTTCATAGGTTGTTATCGGATCATTTATAAATAATTTAGTGCTTTAATTATTTGCAACATACAAAGAATGTCGGATGATTATCTACCAAGTTATTGCAGGAAGTGCTATCTTGGCAAGAAATTGAATCTGCAAGTAAATTGGTTTCTTTTCAGCTGAAACGCATCTGACGGGTGGGGTATAAATAAAAGTAAGATAAAACGTAGACGATGTCACAAAGTTGCGATAGAAGGTAAACACAGTTGAACGAACCCATCATTTTAATGCAGCATACAATGAAATTCTCGCAACTCGAACTGAACTTCCGCACGGGACTATCTGTCTTTTATAGCGGAACTCAAGAAATCTCAATACGACTCTGTCCCTCCGCTTCTTTCTCTTCCCTGTTCCTGCATTCTTGAGAAAGAATGCGCCACTCGAAAGGAAAATAAACTCTTCTTTCGAATTTCATCGTCTAGACGTATTCTTTTGCTTAATTCATGATAAATTCCTCGACTACATTTTTGCAATATTTAATATGAATCAGTAGATAATAGAAAAACTTGTGTTCTAATCCGGTATTTGAACTATTACAAAGCTCAATTGTAAACATAAATTTACTATAAATTCCCTCCAAAATATACAAATTTATACTCTAAAAATTCCTGAATCATCCATTCGAAAGTAGAAAATCACCTAAAAGATCGGCAAGTAGATCGAGAAATCGAAAGAAGACAAAAGCATTCCAACAAAATCGTACAAAATCTAACCGTGAAATTGTAAAAACGGAGCCGCAACAAATCTGTCGAGGATCCCGTAATTTACGGTAGCCGAGTTCTAACTTCGGGCAAACAGGATATAAGTTCATTATATCGACGTT